AGCTGTATTGAAAATGGGCATTCTTGCTGGGCACTGGTGGCTCATACCTATAATCCTAGCTACTCAGGATACTGAGGCCTGACAATTGCAGTTCAAAGCCAGCTGGGACAGAAAAGTCCATAAGACTCTTATCTGTACTTAACCATCAGAAAACTGGATGTGAAGCTGTGGCTCCAAGTGGTAGAGCACTAACCTTGAGCAAAAAGATCTCAGGGACAGTGCCTAGGCCCTGAGTTGGAGCCCCATGGCTGACAAAAAACAAAGAACGAGGAAATGGCACATTTTTTTCCTTACTCCTGATTGTAGAGGAAAGTTTTCAATCTTTTACCACTGGGTAAAAGATTGTTCCTGTGAATTTTAAATTAAATGAGTCTTATGTTGAATAAACTTATTTATACTACTAGTTTTCTGAATTGTTTTGTCGTGGAAAGTTTTGGATTATGGAAAATACTTTATTCTGCATCAACTGAAATGATCATTGTAGGTTTTCTCCTTTGTTCTATTAATGTGGTATATTTTATTGATGATAGTGGTTTCTAGATTTCTCCTTGTAATACCTTATCTGGCATTGTCATCAAATGATAGTTGTCCTCATAGAATGAGTTAGGGAGTGCTTCTGTCATTTTCAGTTTTTTGACTAAGAAGGGTTAAAATGTTAGTAGAAGTCACCATGGTCCCATCTGGTAGTAGACTGTTTCCTTTCTTGCCAGTGTTGGATTTTGAACTCAGAGCCTCCTGCTTGTGGCTGGTGCTCTGCCACTTAGACTACACCTCTAGTTACAGCTTTTTGCTGCTTAATTGGAGATGGAGGTTTTTCTACCTTGGGTAGTTTCAAACTGAGGTCACTCCAGGTCTCAGCCTCCTTAATGGCTAGGATTATATTTGTGAGCCACCAGTGCCTGGCTAGTAGACATTTTTTTTGTGGTTTTTGCTTTCTGAATGAAGTTTTGCTTGGTTTACATTTGTTTAGACTTTCTATTTCCTTTTTTTTTCTTTTTTTTTTCGGTTGTGGGGCTTAAACTCTGGGCCTGGGCGCTGTCCCTCAGCTCTTCAGCTCAAAGCTAGTGCTCTACTACTTGAGCCACAGCAACACTTCCAGTTTTCTGGTGGTTTATTGGAGATAAGAGTCCCATGGAAATTGTAACTCCTCTGTACGGTATTTTCATAATAAAAAATTAAATAAAAAAACAAAAAACGAGTCTCATGGAATTTCTTGGGCAGGCTGGCTTTGAACTCTGATCCCCATATCTCAGCCTCCTGAGTAGCTAGGATTACAGGGTGAGCTACTGGTGCCTGGCTCCTTTTTCTCTATGAAAGAAATAAATTTAGGTAGTAATTAAAAAGGCATTTGGCAGTAAAACTCCAAATGTCATTTCTGATTTTGGCTGTTTCTAAAACTACTTTTTTTTCTTAGTATAGTTAAAAGTTTGTCAATTTTGTTGATATAAAAAAAAATACAGCCGGGCGCTGGTGGCTCACGCCTGTAATCCTAGCTACTCAGGAGGCTGAGATCTGAGGATTGCGGTTCAAAGCCAGCCCGGGCAGGAGATACCGTGAGACTCCTATCTCCAATAAACCGCCAGAAAATCGGAAGTGGTGCTGTAGCTCAAGTGGTAGAGCGCTCGCCTTGAGCTGAAGAGCTGAGGGACAGCACCCAGACCCAGAGTTCAAGCCCCACGACTGACAAAAAAAAAAAAAAATACAGGAGGGCTGGGAAGGTGGCTCAGTGGTAGAGTGCTTGCCTTGCATGCATGAGGCCCTGGGTTCAATTCCTCAGCACCACATAAGCAAAAAGAAAAAAGTTGGAAGCAGCGCTGTGGCTCAAGTGGTAGAGTGTTAGCCTTGAGCTGAAGAGCTGAAGGACAGCGGCCAGGCCCAGAGTTCAGGCCCCACAACCAGACCTCCCCACCCCCCAAAAAAAAAATACAGGGGTAGCTGGGTGCTGGTGGCTCATATCTGTAATCCTAGCTACACAGGAGGCTGAGATTTGAGGATCATGGTTCAAAGCCAGCAGGTGCAGGAAACTCCATGAGACTCTTATCTCCAATAAACCACTCAGAAAACCAGAAGTGGTGCTGTGGCTCAAAGTGGTAGAGTGCTAGCCTTGAGCTGAAGAGCTGAGCCCAGGCCCAGGGTACAAGCCCCATGCCCAACAAAACAAAACAACAACAACAAAAAATACAGGGTTAGAGATTTAGCTCAGTGAAAGAGTGCTTGTCTAGCAAATACAAGGCCTTAAAAGTTTGGTCCTCAGCACCATAAATAAATAAATAAGACCAAATAAAACACAGCAGTTTATCTAATTGATTCTCTGTTATTTTTCCATTTTCTCTTTTCTCTAATCATTTCTGTTTGTTACCTTTCCTTCCTTTTATTGGCTGGCTCTTTTTCTAGTTTCTTAAGTTATACAATTAAGCTTTCTATCTGTTTATTTATTCTTGTGCTAGATATTGTATGTGCTAGTACTTGTAACATTACATACTACATTCTTTTTTTTTTGGTCATGGGGCATGAACTCTGGGCCTGGGTGCTGTCCCTGTGCTCTTCAGCTCAAGGCGAGTGCTTTACCGCTTAAGCTACAGCACCACTTCCAGTTTTCTAGTGCTTTATTGGAGATGAGTCTCAGGGACTTTTCTCCCTGGGCTGGGAACTGTGATCCTCAGATCTCAGCCTCCTGAGTAGCTAGGATTATAGGCATGAGCCACTGGTGCCCGTCTCTAACACTACATTCTTAACCTCCTGCTTTTTTTTTTAGTTTAGTTTAGTTTTTGTTTCTTTTTTTTGGTCCGGTCGTGGGGTCTGAACTCTGGGCCTGGGCGCTGTCCCTCAGCTCTTCAGCTCAAGGCTAGCACTCTACCACTTGAGCCACAGCGCCACTTCTGGCTTTTTTTTTTTTTTTTTTACTTATGTGGTGCTGAGGAATTGAACCCAGGGCCTCATGCATGCAAGGCAAGCGCTCTACCACTGAGCCACCTTCCCAGCCCCTCTTACGGGTACATTTCTTATCAAGCATTGTTGCCTCCTCAAGTGAGAGCTGAATAGCTATTCAGGCTGCTTTCCTTCCCAGTGTATACACTCTCCTTCCCAGCCTCACTTGCAGTTTTTGAGAGGTTAATTGTAGATAGGAGTCTCACGGGGACTTTTCTGAGTGGGCTGCTTTGAACCAGATCCTCAGATCTCAACCTCCTGAGTTGCTAGGATTACAGGCCGGAGCTACCAGCACCTTGGCCTTTTTTGTTTTTGTTTTTTTGTGCTTAAAGAGAAGATACTTTGTATGGTTTCAGCTTTTAAAATTTATTGAGACTTATTTTGTGGCAAGATCCGTGGTTTGTGTGGAGAACGTCACAGTGTACTTAAGAATTCTCCATAATATTCTGCTGCAATTGAGTCAAGTGGCTTGAATGTATCTTAGATCTTAATTGGTTTAAGTCTCCTATGTCTCTTTGTTCATCTGTATAGATAGTCTATCCATTGTCAACAATGGAATATTGAAGTCTCCAGCTATTATTAATATAGAACAGCCTATTTCTTACTTCAGTCATTTATTAATATATTTTATTTTGGTGTCCTTTGGTGCATGTAATAATCGTTAATTCTCTTGATAGATCAACTCAGCAAAGTATAATATCCTTGTCTGTCTCTTGTTCCATTTTTTATTTTGAAGTTTAATATCAATATGGACACTCAGTCCTATTTTGTATACTATTTACGTGAGATATCTTTTAAAAATGTTTTTAATTCCTAGCCTATTTATGTTTTGGGATCTGAAGCAATTCTTGGGTAAATAGCATATAATTGGATCTGGGTCATATATTTAATTTTGCCAACTGTTTTTTGTTTCTCTCTCTCTCTCTCTTTCTCTCTCTTTCTCCCCTCCCTTCCTCCCTTCCTTCCTTCCTGGGTCATATATTTTATCTTGCCAACTGTTTCTCTCTTCCTCATCTTGCCAATGGTTTTTCTCTCTTTCTTCCTCCCCTCCTTCCCTCCCTTTCTTCCTTCCTATGTATGTGTGCCCTGGAGCTTGAACACAGGGCCTGGGCACTGTCCCTGAAGCTTCTTTTGCTCAGGTAGTTCTCTACCACTTGAACCACAGCTTCACTTCTGGCTTTTTTGGGTACTTAATTGGCAGTGAGTTTCACAGACTCCCTTGCCCAGGCTGGCTTTGAACTGTGATCCTCAGATCTCAGCCTTCTGAGTAGCTAGGATTGTAGGTAGGAGCCATTGACACCTAGCCACTGTTTCTTTCTTTCTTTTTTTTTTTTTTTGCTGGTCGTGGGGCCTGAACTCTGGGTCTGGGCGCTGTCCCTCAGCTCTTCAGCTCAAGGCTAGTGCTCTACCACTTGAGCCACAGCGCCACTTCCAGCCTTTTCTGCTTATGTGGTGCTGAGGAATCGAACCCAGGGCCTCATGCATGCAAGACAAACACTCTACCACTGAGCCACCTTCCTAACCCCTAGCCACTGTTTCTTAAGTAAAGTTTTAAAACACCTACATACCGGTTTGCTTATATGTAGTTTGTGACTATTTTCATGCTACTGGAGAGGAATTGAGTCATGTTAATATTAAGATTATAAGTGGCTTTCAGAGCCTGAAATAATTGGTTTTCATAGAAGTTTGCTGACCTTTGGTCTAGAATGTCCTTTTCTGTTTCCTTGAGTGTAGTTTCCTTGAGTACAGTGTCACATTGCTGTAGGTGAGTGAGAGCTATCACATTAGCCTGCTTTGGGTCTCTTGAAGCTTGGAAATAGGCTCATTTTGATAACAAACATGGGTACTCCCAAGGCCTTGGCTGGCCAGACAAGGAAGCTAGGGTTGGAGGCAGTGGGGCTGGGATTGTCCCCTCCTTAGCCATGCCATTCATAGGGCAGCCAACTGTCCTGGTGTCCATGCAACTAAGGCAGTTCTTAGTATATAGGATTCTGGAAAGCTTAGCTAAGCTATGATAGTCGATTGGTCAACCAGCTGATCCTTAGAATCTCATTCGTGCCCCTCTACCCCAGTACCATTCAGGGAAACCCCCAGCTATGCAAAGCGGCGACGACTGGCTGGCCCCAGTGGCTTGGCATCCCCGCGGCCCCTGCAGCGCTCAGCCAGTGACATCAACCTGAAGGGTGAGGCACAGCCAGCAGCCTCTCCGGGGCCCTCCCTCCGAAGCCTTCCCCACCAGCTGCTGCTCCAGCGGCTGCAGGAGGAAAAAGATCGCGACCGGGATGGTGAACAGGAGAATGACATCAGTGGCCCCTCAGCAGGCAGGGGCAGCCTGAGCAAAATCAGGTAGGAGAAGGTGGGGAGGTCCTGGAAGGGTAGGCAAGGGTGGGATGCCAGACATCCAGCCAGCAAAGCCAGAAGAAGGAGGCAGGGAGAGTTTGTGGCTGGCATCTGTGCAGTGTTGGGTTGGTGTTTGAAGTTGTGGCACAGCCAGGCCCTCAGAAGGGCTTCCTTGGATGGAGTGCAAAAGAATGTGATGCCCTGGAGGCTGGGTCGGCATATTCTCACTGATTTATGGTTGGAGGTGGGGTTTGCTCTGAGGACACAGGGCAGCTGAGAGAGTTTAGGCGGGTGTGGTCCAACCTGTGAATAGAAAGCTTATTGCCATGTGTGAGAGAGTGGTAGGATGGAAGGGGATGCCTTTCACTGAGGGCTCAAATCCTGTGGGTGAAGCTAGCACTGTCCTCATGCAGGAGTCTTGGCTTCACCCTAGACCCAGTCTTCTATACCTACAGGACTCCACCTCTTCTTACCCTCAAGCCCTGAGAAATCAGGAACATTTGTGGGACTTAGTTTCTCCCAAACTTAATAGTGGGAGGCATGGATTGGAGCTTGTTAGTCTTTGCAGGCTGCATGGAGGTAGAGGGGAGGGTGAGCACTAGCTCTCAGATGGCCAGTGTGCCAGTCCTGTTGGTGAGGTCTTTCAAGGCATGCATTCCCATGGTGAAGCCCTCCAGGTGGCCTGGGCAGGTTAGTCTGCTGGGACCCACACACACTGTCAGCCAGTGTGGTTATGGGATCTGTGTTTCCTTTGCCTTGGTAGTAGGAGCTGTTTTTCTTACTTCCTGCCTTTTCCCCAGAGCTAGGCACATAGAAGTGTGTGTTAGATGCAAGTGTTACATAAGCAGAGTATTGTTTTCACAATACAGTTTAAATTTTTTAATTGTTAATATAAAGGTGATGTACAGAGAGGGATTACAGTTACGTAAGTCAGGTAAAGAGTACATTTCCTTTTAGACAGTGTCACCCCTTCCTTTGCTCTTCATAATGTGGTTTAATAACCCCAGGGCTCCATGTGCCACTGGGCTGTATGACACATTTATGTCATGTCAGTTCTATAACTTAGGACATGTGACACTCAAGTTGGCTCATACTTGTCCAAAGTCAGAGTTAGGAATCAGCTTATCTGGGTTCAGTTTGATAAAGGTCATAGGGTATGGCAGGAACATATGCAAGGCCCTCCTTTTCTTCATGCAGCAGGTCTTATGTCTGTTTCTACCTAGACTTGGATCCCCGAAAACTGTCTGCTTGCTCCAAATACCAGTTTTCATTTGAAGATTTTTCATAAGCCCTTTGGATTTTCCTAAGCTAGGGCTGATGGCCTGGTGGCTGAAACCATACTTTGCCATTTCATGAGATGGCTACTTGTGAGAGGAGCTGTGTGGTCACCGCTGGTCTCTGCTTTAGTGTATTTATTCGCCCTTTCAACAGACAAAAACCCAGGACCTACCCACATGCCCGGGACTCTAGCTTTCTTGCTCTGTAGGACAGCAGGCTTCTTTCTTCCTCATGAACATTTGTTAGGCCCCATTGTGGTGGGATCCCACACCAAGGTTCTGAGTGGGTTTCAGGGCATGGACACCTGGATCCAGGGCTGAGAGGCAATTAGGTGGACAGTGAATCAGGTATGACAGGGATCTGTAACGCTTAGGAAGAAGTGGCTGGTAAAGTGTGGTGCATGGAGGAGGGAGGGACTCTGGGTTCAGTTGCCTATGGTCAAGGGGGAAAAATTGCCATTGATGGAACCCCGTGGGGCTGCACTGGCTCTGCCGCCCCCTGTTGGCAAAGCTTGGCACAGGATCCCTGGCAGCCAGCCATGTGTGGTCGGCCGGGTCCTGGCCCCAGAAACCTACCAGGGCACTCGGAGTGGAGTCAGTACTTCAGTCGCTGGCCAAATGGCCGGGATGGCAGTAGGTTCTGAGTAGGTAGCCGGTGGCCGGTTCCCAAGTTCCAGAGTGCCTGGCCATTGGTGGAGACAGTGAGTATCTGACTTGGCATGCCTAGGTGCTAGACCGCAAGCTTTGGAGCCTTGGTACTAGAGAGCAAGCCCTGGAGCTGAGAGCAGGTGGCCTGCGCCTCGGGGCTCAGTGCCCAGGCCCGGAGCAGGCGTCTGGGATGAGAGGACCCAGGCCTGTGGGAGGGCGCCCCGCGCGGGGGTGGGCAGGGCGCAGCGGGCAGGCCAGGCCCACACTGGGGAGCTGGGCCCGGCCACTGCGCCCCGCCTGGGCTCCGGCCTGGCCTGACGGCCGCGCCCCACCCGCCCCGTGGTGAGCCCAGTCATCCTGCCTGGCGCCCACACCCCCACCCCAGCCTTCCCCAGCCTCCCGCGGCGGCTCGGCCGCCACTCCCCCCACAGGCGGGGCGCCCCCTCCGCACCGGCCCTCAGCCCGACCCCCGGCCCTCAGCTCCTCAGCTCGGACCTGCCGGGCCGTGGGCCCGCGGGGGGCGCCGCGGGTGGAGGGCGCGCCGGCCGCCGCCGCCCGCAGAGGGAGGAGCCGGCGCGGAGGAGGCGGGGCGCAGAGCGGCCGCGGCATGGAGCGCAGCCCCGCGGCCCCGGAGCCCTGAGCGGGCGCGGCTCGTGCGCTGGCGGGAGCTGGCCGGGCGCAGCGGCGGCGCGGCCCATGGAGCGGCCCCGGGCCGGGCCCCCGGCGGCGGCGGGCGGGCGGGCGGCGGGCCGGCGGCGGGCGCTGCGGCGGCGGCTGCCGTGAGGCCGGCGGCGGGGCCCGGCCGCGCGCCATGGAGGCCCCGGGCGCCGGCTTCGCGTGCCCGCTGCCCCCCGGCATCGCGTCCGTCACCTACGTGTTCGTCTACAGCCCGAGCGGGCCCGGCGGCCCGGGCCCCGCGCCCGGCCCCGGCTCGGCGCCCCCCGCATCCCCCGCGCCGCCGCCCCGGGGCCCGAAGCGGAAACTTTACAGCGCAGTCCCCGGCCGCAAGTTCATCGCTGTGAAGGCGCACAGCCCGCAGGGCGAGGGCGAGATCCCGCTGCACCGAGGCGAGGCCGTGAAGGGTGAGCGGCGCGGGGGGCGGGCCGCGCGGCCGGCGGGGCCATCTTGGGGTCTCCGGGGCCGGGGCCCCGGTCGGGGCCGCGGGCCGCCGCCGGCACCTGCGCCCCTGGCTGTCGCCACAGACGTTTCTGTGTCATGCTGGGGGCCAGCGCCACCCGGCCCCGTGTCCGGCCCCGCCGCGGGGCTCTTGTGTCACTTCTTGGGCTTCTCCGCTGGACACCCTGGGGCCGGGGTGCCGCCGCGGGGGAGGGCTGTGACAGTGACCGTGCCCACGGGTGCTGTGCACATCCCTCCCGCCCGTGCGGCCGGCCTGCTGAAGGCACAAGTGCCTCATTTTGTAATCACCCGGGTCCTGCCCAGGCGCCCTGTTTCCATGGGAGCCTGAGGTGGAAGCAGGCATATCTTGTGGCTTACTGCTCTGGCCACCGTGCAGTGACCCTGAGCTCTTGGCGGTGGCCCTTGGGTGGGTGACAGCTATCAGAGAGTGGCCACTGGGGGCAGGAGCAGGATTGTGGCTCCTGCAGCTGCTCCCGTCCTCCTTGAGTATGTCCATCTGTGTCTCTGTCCCCTGCATGCCCATTCCGTGCCCAGCCCATCTGTTTGTTTGCCTTTTCTGCGTGGATCCCACAGTCTTCCCAAGAAGAAAGCTAGGCAAATGTGGGAAGGGATGGAGAGCAAGGTTTAGGGCAGAACCTGAGCCTGAAATGGATGGGTGGGGGGGCGGGTAACCTGCAGAACCTGAGCCAGAAATGGAAGGGAGGTGACCTGCGGCTCCTTGCTTTACCCTAATGGCCTGTCTGGCTTTTGTTCCCCAGTGCTCAGCATCGGGGAGGGCGGATTCTGGGAGGGGACCGTGAAAGGCCGTACAGGCTGGTTCCCAGCTGACTGTGTGGAGGAGGTGCAGATGCGACAGTATGACGCCAGGCCTGGTGAGTGACCCCAGACTCCTTCCTAGGCACCTCCTGAGGTGTACACCCTTTGGCTTCCCGTTGGTTTTTCTTGGCGTAAATCTGGGTGCTCACAGAGAAAAGACAAGAAGTAAACTCAGACACACCTAAACACACACCTGTGCATATGACACATACATGGTGTGTATTCGTGACACATGTAGTTCTAAACAAAACTTCACATATGTTGGAGAACTTGTGACATGCTCACAGGAGGTACACAACCGTGAATGTCCTCTGTGTTTCCACACGTGATTCCAGTGCTTGTGACCACTGTTTTAGCATAGTCTTCACAGAAATACCAGGTGCTTGGAGCTTGCGATTCATGTGTGACTGGCAGACAAATAAGGAGGTCAGTGTGAGAAAAGAGGCATTTTTCCAAAGTGGACAGATTGTCCAAGTGGGCAGAGCAGGAGGGCTGGACCAGCCAAGAGGAAATGAGGCCAGCTGGGCCCCAAGGGGTAGTTATAGGTACCCTGGGGCTGGGATAGTCTGAGGGCAGCTGTTGAGGGATGGCCCCTGTCTTTAGTCAGGCAGAGAGGATGTGAAGTTGAAGGCCTCAACTCCTGAGGCTGGTGAGCAGCCTTCATTTAACCCTGCTGAGCAGCTGGGTTTCTAGGTAGGACCCCTCGGTGCCGGAGCCCACTGCGTGAGCTGGCTGTATTATCTAGGATGTAGCCTTTAGTAGGAGCCTTCAGGGATCCTAGAAAGCCCTAGGTCCCATGAGTTTTACTTCTGGCCCACAGAGTAGGTGTGATAAATGAAGTTCTCCTGAGTGGTGGTCATAAGTGGTCACCAGTGATGTGTTGAGTCACAGTGCATGTGTTTCTCTGTACCTGGAGGATTTGGGTTCAGAGTTGGTATTTCCTCACATTGGATTGACAGCTTCCCAGTGGAGCCCATCCATGTGTCACCCAGGACCCATGTGTGATCCAGAACCAATGTCCTGTGCCAAATTTGGTAGAGACCCAAGGACATGTGAGTTTGGCTGCTGACCCACTGCTGGCCAGGTGACTTGCTCCCTTACCTGGTAGACCCTTGTCCTGCTCCAGTGGTGGTGGCATGGAACGTGGAAGGGTCTGGGCTTCCTTGTTCTCTGCCTGTGGAAAGTAGTAGATGGAGTGGGAAATGATGTCAGGGTTTTGGCCTTAGGCCTGTCAGGGTGAAAGGAGGGAATAGAGAGGTATGTGGACTCAACACCTGTTGAACAGGAGCTAGTCCTATATACTCCTACAGGAAGGGTGGTGAGGTGCTGGTCTAAGAACTGGAGGCGCCAGGGACAATTTGGACCTTGGGATGAAGTTGAGATGGTAGGAAAGTTTGTGCTGGAGTCGGAGTCTGAGATGAGTGGCTGCTAATTAGGTTACTCCACGCTGGACTTGGTGCTGGCTCCTCACAGCAGCTGTGGAGGGTACACTGGTCTGTGCTTCTGCAGAGGCTTTGTGAGGAGCTCTCTTGAGTTCCCTGAAGGATTCAGAGAGGGCTTCAAAGCAGAGGTGATGTTTGGGCGGAATCTTCTGGGTGGATCCACAGATGAGGCGTTACTTCGTGTTTTCAGGGATCTCTGGCTTAGGGTTCTGGTGCTATACAGTGTTTCAGAGTTTCATTTGTCAGCAACTCAACATAACTTTTTTTGTTGTTGTTGTTGGTCGTGGGGCTTGAACTCTGGGCTTGGGTGCTATCCCTCAGCTCTTCAGCTCAATCAAGGCTAGTGCTCTACCACTTGAGCCACAGTGCCACTTCCGGTTTTCTAGTGGTTTATTGGAGATAAGAGTCTCACAGGCTTTCCTGCCCGGGCTGGCTTTGAACCGTGATTCTCAGATCTCAGCCTCCTGAGTAGCTAGAATGACAGGCATGAGCCACCGGTGCCCGGCTCTAATTTTAACATTTTTAAATGGACAGAATTGCCAGTTTGTCCCAGAAACCCTGGGGAGGTTGAGTCAGGTGTTATTAGTACATTTCTAGAGGGCCCCGCAGCCATGAGGGCCACTTGTGGCAAGGCTGGAGTGGGGAGCCTGAGGTCACTTAGATGCTCCTGGTACAGAGAAAGAACAGCCTTGTGGTGGGAGCTGACTAGGCCAGGGTTGCTTGATTGTGCAGTTCTTTTAGGGTCATGGTCAGGATTTGGACAGAGCAGAGCAGAGAGGTAGGCAAAGTGGGCCAGAGCTTCAGAAAAGTAGCCTGTGTGAGTGATGAAAACCTAACAGTTACAGGGATGCTAGACAGGGCTGTGGGGACTGAGTATCAAAGATAGCTGTGTGGATGGGAGTTCCAGGGGTTGGCCGAGGATGAGAGCCCTGCTGAAGCTGCCTGTCTGTAGGAAGGGGCGGGAACAATGGTAGCCTTTCTCCGACCTCAGCTGTAGTCTTGGCCAGTCACTCTAGGCAGAATCTCCCATGTTGAACTCAGACTGAGTTTGGCCAGAGGCTGGAGGGCAGCCCGGCCATAGAAATCTGCTTTTAGTAGGCGTAGATCCAAGGAAGAAATCTGATTCAGGGGCTAGAGTAGGAACTGAGGACTTAAAGGCCAAAGACTGGACACTGTGTTGAGGCATATGGGCGAGGCTGGTACCCAGGGCCACCGCTAGAAACTGGACTAGGGAACAGGTCCTGATCCCTTCATGAGGTGCAGAGCCAGTCTCTCAAGACACTGGAGAAGCAGAGGGTGTTGAGCTGGGTGGGAGGAAATGCCCAGGCCAGTTTGTGCAGGGACCCCAGTCCCAATGTGCCTCCCCTCCTTCCCCACCTAGTTTTGGGGTTGTTCATGTTCCGAACCTTCAACTATCTTTTTTTGTGTGTGTGCCTGATTAATAAGCCCAGGAAATGAATTTGTGTTACATAATGAATGCAATTTGTTTGGTTGACCAAAAAATTTCAAAACAAGATTCTAGTGATTTTAAGATTGGGTCCTTTTATCTTGCCCATGTAATTGTAACCCCTCTGTACAGTATTTTCACACACACACACACACACACACACACACACACACACACACACACACACACACACACACACACACACACACACACACACACACACACACACACACAAAAACGAAAAGAAAGACTGGGGTCCTTCTGCAGGCTGAGTGTTTCTTTGACTTGACTGGTCTGAAGAAGGGTGTTATAGAGGAGTGTAGGGCACTGCCTTCGTGGTAAAGCCTGGCTTATGCTGGCCTTGGGAACCAATATGGCCTCAGCCATATTGGGCTGTATCAGGGGGAAGAGAAAAGTGAATTGAGAGCTTGGATGCGGCAAGGGTGATGATAACAGGCTACCGAACCCAGGGGCCACCAAGGTAACCTTGCTCTGGAAGGATAGACCCAGAGGGGCCAGTTGCCTTACTGAGAATCTCATATCTAGTAGTAGGAATCTGAATTTAGTACTTGTTTTTTTTTTTTCTTTTTTGGTTGGTCGTGGGGCTTTGAACGCTGGGCCTGGGTGCTGTCCCTCAGCTCTTTAGCTTAAGGCTAGCGCTTTGCCATCTGAGCCACATGTCCGGCTTTTCCTGAGTAGTTTATTGGAGATAAGGATCTCACGGACTTTCCTGCCCAGGCTGGCTTTGAACCTTGATCCTCAGATCTCAGCCTCCTGAGTAGCTAGGATTACAGCCATGAGCTGTAAGATATGAACAGGGGCTGGGAAGGTGGCTCAGTGGTAGAGCGCTTGCCTTGCATGCCTGAGGCCCTGGGTTCGATTCCTCAGCACTACATAAGCAAAAAGAAAAAAGCCGGAAGTGGCGCTGTGGCTCAAGTGGTAGAGCGCTAGCCTTGAGCTGAAGATCTGAGGGACAGCGCCCAGGCCCAGAGTTCAAGCCCCATGACCGACAAAAAAAACAAAAACAAAAAAAACACAAAGCCTAAACATCTCCCACCTTTGCCAGACAAAATTCTACAATTTGATTCCCTCTGCCATTTTCTTTGGCTCCTTCAGTTCTAGCTGCATGGGTTCCACACTGTCTCTAGCATCCTCCAGGTTGCTGCGCATTGGCTCTGCCCTGACTGCCCCACTCCTGGGAGATGCTGTGTCTCCAAGTGGTCTTTGCTTGGCTCCCTCTGCTGGTGAGGCTATCCCTAGAATGGTACTTTCTTTTTGGGGGAAGGGCAGTACTAAGGTTTAAAATTCAGGACTCGACCAATACTTCTAGTCCTTTTTTTTTCTCTGATTTTTTTTTTTTTTGGGGGGGCGGGGAGTGTCATGGGGCCTGAACTCTGGGCCTGGGCGCTGTCCCTCAGCTCTTCAGCTCAAGGCTAGCACTCTACAACACTTGAGCCACAGCACCACTTCTGTCTTTTTCCGTTTATGTGGTGCTGAGGAATCGAACCCAGGGCCTCGTGCATGCAAGGCAAGCACTCTACCACTGAGCCACCTTCCCAGCCCCTTCTCTGCTAATTTATTTTTTTTGGGGATCCGGTCATGGGGCCTGAACTCTGGGCCTGGGCGCTGTCCCTCAGCTCTTCAGCTCAAGGCTAGCATTCTACGACATTTGAGCCACAGCACCACTTCTGTCTTTTTCTGTTTATGTGGTGCTGAGGAATCGAACCCAGGGCCTCGTGCATGCAAGGCAAGCACTCTACCACTGAGCCACCTTCCCAGCCCCTTCTCTGCTAATTTATTTTTTTTGGGGATCCGGTCATGGGGCCTGAACTCTGGGCCTGGACGCTGTCCCTCAGCTCTTCAGCTCAAGGCTAGCATTCTACGACATTTGAGCCACAGCACCACTTCCGGCTTTTTTCTTTTTGCTTATGTGGTGCTGAGGAATCGAACTCAGGGCCTCATGCATGCAAGGCAAGTGCTCTACCACTGAGCCACCTTCCCAGCCCCTTCTCTGATAATTTTTGAGATAGGATTTTACTTTCTGCCCAGGCTAACCTAGTCCTTGATTCTCTTATTTATGTTTTTCACCAGTTGGAAGATAGCTGTGTACCACTACACCCAGCTTTTTTAAACTGTTAAGGTGGGATCCCATGAACTTTATTTATTTATTTTGAGACTACCCTGGAACTGTTATTTTCCAAACCTCAGCGTCTAGATTATAGGCATGTCTTGTAAACTTTTTGCCCAGGCTGGCCTCAAATTTCTTTCTTTTTTTTTTTTTTTTTTGGTCAGTCGTGGGGCCTGAACTTGGCCTGGGTGCGGTCCCTGAGCTCTTCATCTGTAGCCTAGCGCTCTACCACTTGAGCCTCAGCCCCACTTCCAGTTTTTTCTGCTTATGTGGTGCTGAGGAATCGAACCCAGGGCCTCATGCATGCAAGGCAAGCGCTCTACCACTGAGCCACTTTCCCAGGCCCTGGCCTCAAATTTCTATTTTTTTGCTATCTACCTCCCGATTAACTGTGATTATAGGTATGAGTGTGGGTAGAACTGAACTTTTTTTTTTTGCATCCTTGCTCTGTTTTCTATGCTATATTCTCAGAGCCAGAAAAACTAAAAAGTGCATAGTAGACATTTAATAAACCCTTGTTGAACTAGAAAATGAATCTTGGAAAGTGCTACAATAAGAGAGAATGAGAGCAGAAGGTTCTGAGGGATGAAATTTGAGTCAGTGGTGGGGTTCCCTTGGAACTCTTCCCCGATCTGGGGAGTAGAACCAGAGATAGGAGGAACTGGGATATGATTTCAAATTTTGATGACATCTGCAACAGCGAGGAGGGGACAGGCAGCCCCTGGTCAGCTCCACAGTGGCCATGAAGAACTTTAGGGTCAGAGAAGAGGTGAGGACAGGATTCTGGGAAAGGGACCCAGACCTTGAGGTTCTTTCCCCATTCAGAGCCGGAGCCTCTAGCTAGGTACACTCTGAGGTTTCATCTTGGCTCTTGTGAGGAATTCAGTGGAGAAAAGAGTTGCTTTCATGATAGTTCATGTGGGCACATAGCACAGAATACATGCACATGTATGAATACTCCACTTGCACACAGCTGTGGGTACATGGACACTTATATGTTACCATGCTAGGCTCATACAGATAATGTATGAAAGAAGCAGTCGCATGCACTACAAGTCTCTCTTTCACACACACGAATATGAATACAACATTAATATACTAGCGCGAGGCTCATACACACATAGACTTGCACATTCTGTCCCATAATCTCAGCTTTAGGGCTCACTGACTGGATGGCCCTGGTCTTTCTGGTCTCCTGTGTCTAGCTGTAAGGTCCTCAAAAAAAAAAAGCCACAGCTGCTGCCCTCCTGGGTCCTGATTCCAGGAGGCAAGTATTCTCTGCATGCTTCCTTCTTAGCCTTCTTACCTTAGGACGTATAGACCCAGAACCCCAGGATGTGGGATCCCCCACTTACATCTTGGTACAAGGGTACAGAGGCTAAGACCAGCACAGTTAGGGGTAGTCCCTCCAGCTGGAGGCCAAGACTACTTCAGCTTCTGATTCTCGCTCCAGAAACCCGGGAGGACCGTACGAAGCGGCTTTTCCGACACTACACAGTTGGTTCCTATGACAGCCTCACTTCACACAGGTATTAACAAGTGAGGGAGGGGAAGGGGGACAGGACATGGGCTGGACCTGTGGCTATGGCATGGGAGGCGTGGGAGGGGGAGGCCAGGGTTTGGCAGTATGGGTGGAGGGTGAGGAGAAGGTGCCCAGAATGTCTGCCTTCTGCTTTTCCCCAGGGTGGCCTGTGTCTGTGTGGCCCTGTGGGGTCCTCCTGGTGCCAGGTTGCCTGCAGGTTGCCTGAAGTTACCTTTTTGTGCTTTCCTCCACTAGTGATTATGTCATTGATGACAAGGTGGCCATCCTGCAGAAACGGGACCATGAGGGCTTTGGCTTTGTGCTCCGGGGAGCCAAAGGTAATGGATTGTATTTTTGGGAATGTTTTCTATGTCTTTAGTCCCAGCCCCTTCCATCTAATGCTGTGGTTGTGACGGTCTTGGTTTGCAGTGTCTGGGTATAAGGCAGCCATTTCCTGAACCCTCCACTGTCTCCTACCCTTTGGCTTGGGGTGCCTAATAGAATAGGGGCTTTTAGCCAAAGTGAATGAAAAAGGAATGTGTACTGATGTTCTGGACTGTGCGTCTGCCTGCTGCCCTCTCCATCTTGGGTCACTGTCCCAGTAGTCACATGCTTCTCAAGCTAAGCATGTGGAGGTTGCTGTGTGACAGCTTCCCTCACTTGAACCACACTGGTGAGTGCCTTCCTGCTCCTGCTTCCTAATCCCCCTCCCTGCAGCAGAGACCCCTATCGAGGAGTTCACGCCCACACCGGCCTTCCCTGCGCTCCAGTACCTGGAGTCTGTGGATGTGGAAGGCGTGGCCTGGAGGGCTGGGCTTCGTACTGGAGACTTCCTTATTGAGGTGAGGCATATCCTGACCTGTAGTGGGGGTAGGCTGAGGGGAGGTGCTGACCCTCAAGCTTTGAGGGGGTACATGTAAGCACCCTACCCAGTTGCCTGTGTCCTAGGTGAATGGGGTGAACGTGGTGAAGGTCGGACACAAGCAGGTGGTGGGTCTGATCCGTCAGGGCGGCAACCGCCTGGTCATGAAGGTTGTGTCAGTGACCAGGAAGCCTGAAGAGGATGGGTCTCGGCGCAGAGGTGAGGGCTCAGGCTTCCGGATCTGTCAAGACTCTCCCCTTGGCTCCTGACCTTAGCCCTTTGACTTCAAGCCCACATTTCTCTTGTCACTCAAACTGCTGGGTTTACATCCTAATTTCATATTCCTGAATTTAGAGGAAATGTTGGCATTTTAGCCCAGAAACACTGCCCGAGCCCTAGTGTTGGATATCCATTGGTCCCTGGCCAGGCCTCTGACCCCTGACCCCAGATTGCCCTCATACTCCCACCTCCTCCTTCCCGGCATCCTCCAGCCTTGGTGTGGCAGAGCCCTCCTTCCCTACGCCAGCAGCTGCCTGGAGGCCGGGTTGCCATGGCAACTGTGAGGTTGACGCTGCCGCTGCTGCTGCTTATTGTGCGGGGAAGGGGGAGGCGGCACCTGAGGGAAGAGGAAAAGCGTCTTCTCCCGCGCCGACGTAGTTGAGGCTCAGCCTGGGCCCAGGAGGCTTTGCAGCAGCCCAACCCGGGTTGTTGGCTTGCCTAACCACACCCTGGTCCCCTAAGGGATAGTGGTACCTGGGCCTGGAAACTCTGGGTGGCAGGAGGCAGCCTGGCAGAAGACCCACCCAGCCCCCACATGGCTCCAGTGCCCCCTTGCAGGGCCCTAGGAGCCTTCAGGGTGGGTGCTCATACCAAAGCCAGCCAGCACCGTGTCCCCCTTCGGTATTCTTGATCACCACCTGAGGCCCTGGTCAGGGGCCCCAGAGGTTCAGCCATCCTGGCTCCAGTGCTCCCCAAGCTCCTGGAGCTCCTGGAGCCATGAAGAAGTTTGCATCCAGCCGCAGCCTGAACAAGATCTTGGCACAGTGTGACTCGTCCTCAAGGGAATACGAGGAGATCCAGGCGGTGGAGCGCAAGTGGCACTTACACCTGGCCACGCCGCGCCGCCTGCTGCTGGACCGGAGGGCCAAGGCCTCCCTCTTCTTTGCAGCCCCACCTCCTCCCAAGAGAGCCCCCAGCACCACGCTGACCCTGCGCTCCAAGTCCATGACGGCTGAGCTTGAAGAACTCGGTGAGCACCGGGGGTGGTTGTGGAAGGAAGCGGTTGACCCTGGTCAGAATGGCCGGGGTAGGGGGGGGCCCCAGGCAGTGTGGGAAGCCAGAGGGACTGAGGCTGGGCTGAAGCCAGGCACCAACAACAGGGAGGAAAGACTGGCGAATGTGGAATCAGGTCAAAGGTTAGGTCCAGTGCCTGTTGGATGAGGAGAAAAAAATGGCTTCTGCAGGGGTGTGTGTGTGTGTGTGTGTGTGTGTGTGTGTGTGTGTGTGTGTGTGAGTGAGAGACCCCTGGTTCTACATGTCTCCACTCTGACTTTGTTCTTGCACTTCACCCAAGTGAGGGAAGAATAGTGGTTGAGCAGCCTGGTGTCTGTTCCCAGCTTGCCAAGCACTACTTGGGTCATCTTTGTGCTGTATTTTACTCTGTTTGTTTGCTCATGCGTCAAGCAAGCCTGCTGGCCTCATAGGGTCATTGTAAGCATGTCTTGTGCAACATGGGATGGGTCCTTGTAAGCCGCAGAGGTGAACAAGACTGAGTCAGACTTTGATGGGCACAGTCCCAGGTTGAGCACAGAAACCATCAGGACCGTATCCCAATGTATGACATTTAACAACCTTGCAATAGGCATGTCAGATACATAATAATGTCCTGACATGTATGACCATTAACAACTTTGTCATGAATGTCCTGTGTGTATAACCATGTCCAGTCACGCATAGCAATCAATAGTCTTTTCATGGGCATGCTCTCATACATAAGACTATATCCTCATTGTGAGAATATGTTAATGCTTGTGAGAATTAAGAGCCTGTGTCCTGACCATCAACAGCCTCACAGTGGGTATATTCCCATACAAGTGATTGTTGGCTCACTGCACTTCCACATTCTGAGTCCAAACCCAGCCTCAGTTCCTTGCTATCACTGTACCAGTGGAAGGAACTTTTACCCTGGCTCACAGAACTCACCCTGTCCTTGCTTCCAGAGTGAGCTCTGACCCTGTTCTGGCCCACAGAGCTTGTTCTAGTCTGAAAAGGAGCTTTGACTGCAGTTTTCAGTTTAGTTTCCATAACAGCTACCGGGAGGGACTGGGTTGACATGATCAGAATTTTCCTTGCCATAAATATTCTGAATAGATAACACACAAAAAATACATAGACAAAAATACACAGACAAGTCAAAAGAAAGGAAGAGGAACCCTTAGGCTTCAAACGTAAAATGGGATATCAAAGCCAGGGGAAGAGAGAAAGCTGATGCTTCCTAGCCGTGATGGAGATCCCAAGGGCAAGGTCAGGTTCTGAAGCCTTCACCAACTCGAGGGGATGAGGCTGTGGACCTGTAAAAAGTGGGAAGGCCAAAACCAAGCATAGGAACTAAAATTAGCATCAAAAGAATTAGAAGCCAGAAAAGAATATGAGACAGTAGATACAATGTTTATCACAAAGATCAGAGAACTAATAGACTAATGAACTAATAGGACAGGGCCAAAAGAAAAAGAGCAATCACATTTAGAAAGGGTTTCTGAAGGACTGTCATTGAAGCCTGGTACTAGGGGCTTCCACCTATAATCCTAGCTATTCATGAGCTGAGATCTAGAGTACTGTAAAGCCAGTCTGGGCAGAAAAGTCCATGAAATTCAGTCTTCAATTAGCCAGCAAAATGCTGAACTGGAGGTGTGGCTCAAGTGGCAGAGTGTCAGCTATGAGCAAGAAAGCTGAGCAAGGGCTGGGAAGGTGGCTCAGTGGTAGAGCGCTTGCCTTGCATGCATGAGGCCCTGGGTTCGATTCCTCAGCACCACATAAGCAAAAAGAAAAAAAAGCCGGAAGTGGCACTGTGGCTCAAGAGGTAGAGTGCTAGCCTTGAGCTGAGGAGCTGAGGGACAGCGCCCAGGCCCCGAGTTCAGGCCCCATGACAGGACCCCCCCCCCCCCCCCCCCGCAAAAAAAAAAAAAAAGAAAGCTGAGCAAAAGTGTGAAGCTTTGAGCTCAATCCACGATACTGGTGGACAAAAAAAGAACTGTTATTAAAATTGAAAATATAAAACAAAGAAATACAAGTTAGAAAACAAATGAAAAAAATCTGTGGCTTATATACACAATATCCTAGACCCAGCTGAAAATGAAGCAGTGGATGAGATCAGTTGGAGGAGATGACCCAGAATCTGCTCAGGAAGAAGAGTAGATATTGAAGAGCAGGTAGAGGATATGAGAAAAGTAAAGAGAGACTGGCAGCTACTTAGTGGAAGATCTAGAGGGAAAGAGTAAAAAAATGAAAGGCAGTGTTTGAAGAGTAAACAGCTAAGAATGTAAGTGAAAAAGATACGAATTCCATTAGAAAAAAAAGAGCAGAAGTCATTCACAAAGAAAGAAAAACTCATCTACATCCAGATATGTCAGAATAAAATTTTAGAATGCCATTGACAAGCAGAAGAAAGGAGAGAGAGAAAGCATGCACCAGCCCGCCTTTGCTTGCCCTTGTGAAGCCAGTTGGCTTAAAAGGGAGTGATGGTGTGATGGGCAGCAATGGTAGAAGGCAAACATGGAATCAAGATGCCTCTCCACCTAGATTCTGAACTCAGCCAAACCTGCTTACCTGAGTGAGCAGAGACACCAGCTGACTTCTGGCTCCAGCATCATATAAATCCCAGGTTAGTCACAGGGAGCTGACCTGTCAAACTGACCAATTAGGCAGTACTGGTAGGCAGCTGGACTTGTGTGGACATCAGGCAAGACCAGTGGATGTTCCTTGGAGTCTCTTGCCAGACTGTAACATAGCCATGTTTAGGACTCTCCTAGTGGGCACAAAGGCTTTAGGCAGCCTGAATTCTGCATTCCATGGGCATAAATACTCTGCTGTCTCAGAGTAGAGCTCCTCCCTCTTGCCCTGAGCCTTTCTGCCTACAGAAACCGAAGTGGAAGAGTGGAATGTTCTTTTCTGCTCCAGAAGCCTCAAGAGAGGCTCACTGTTTGCTCTGGGCCCTGCTGCACCGAAGGGCACAGATATCAGACTGTTCCTGAGTAGAACCTAGAGGAGGACAGAAGCCCAGCATGAGCTCTGCATACATGTCTGGGCCCAGAGACAAAACTGCTGAAGTGGGATCAAGGGTCTAAATGGTGCTATATTTAGAGAAGGGCCAGGCAACCAGGGGCCCAGAGCTGTGCTGCCTCTCAATACAGCTGTCCAGAGAGGCCAACTTAGCACCCACTTCTTTTTTTTTTTTTGTCGGTCGTGGGGCTTGAACTCTGGGCCTGGGCGCTGTCCCTCAGCTCTTCAGCTCAAGGCGAGGGCTCTATCACTTGAGCTACAGCGCCACTTCCGGTTTTCTGGTGGTTTATTGGAGATAGGAGTCTCACGGTCTCTCCTGCCCGGGCTGGCTTTGAACCGCGATCCTCAGATCTCAGCCTCCTGAGTAGCTAGGATTACAGGCGTGAGCCACCAGCGCCCGGCAGCACCCACTTCTTAACCTGTTCCCTCTGGATGTCTGCTTTGAAGAAGCCAAGCCAAAATTGTGGTTCCCCAGGCTCCTGGGGAGCCATCCCACAGTCTACTATTTGTGTTTTTAAAATGTAGAAATAAGACATGTTGGTGGCCAGGAATGTGGCTCAGTGGTAGAGTGCTTGCCTAGCATGCATGAAGCCCTGGGTTTGATGCCTCAGTACCACAATAAACAGAAAAAGCCAGAAGTGGTGCTGTGGCTCAGTGGTAGAGTGCTAGCCTTGAGCAAAAGAAGCTCAGGGACAGTACCCAGGCCCTGAGTTCAAGCCCCAGGACAGACATAAAAAAAGACAAGTTGGCACCACTAGCATGAACATGTCCATCCTGACAGTAATAGTTAGAAGCTAATAGAGCCCTTTAGGATCCATAGTCTATTGAGAAAATGACCTGAAGACTTGCAAAGAAAAGAAAATGTGAGGTAATGGGGAAGCGGGCCTCAGAGGCTCACGCTCGGTGTCTTGTGCTTGGTGGGGATCAGGCCAGGTCCTGTAGAAGGAAGAAGAGGGATGAGCGTGTTGTGGGTGAGCAAAGGCTAATGAAGATTGGGTGGCTGTGAGGAATGAGTGAGGGAAAGAAGTTGGAGGAGATAGCCTCCCAAGAGAAATAATTCTTAGAGGGAGAAATTCAGAGCACCTGTTCCCCTCCTCGTGTCACGTGCACATTGGCTTCGCTTGAACTAGGTTTGGAGGTCATGTTTTGGAGACCTAGGTCAGGGAGTCTGGTGGATCTAGACTTCTTTCTTTCTCATCCATTTCTTCAGTAGAAGTTGGGACTTCGCTGTAGTTTCTGGGTCCCTTTTTCTTTGGTGATGAGAACTCATGATAGGTGTCATATCGTGTCCCTAACTCTGGCGTTGGTCTGGAAGAGAATTCTCTGCCAGACATATATGTCCTCCCTGCTGTTTAAGCCTGTGTTTGCTAAGGCCCCCAGTTCTATCCCTAGCATGGGAAAAACCTACAGAATGCTCATGGGTGACCATCTTGGTTTTCATTGGTCTCTGAACTTGGGTTTTATGGAGTTATATCTTTTTTTTTTTTGGACAAAAACCACTTGGCCAGAAGAATGTGGTTTAGTTATGCATGTCTCTGTGTATGCATGTATGCATGTATACATGTGTGCTTGTGTGTGCATGTATACACAGGCATGTGTTCCTGCTTGTTGTTCTTCCCTCTTAGGTTTCAAGACATTGGCAGGTTTGTGCTTTGGTTTAATAAGGGGTGGGGGCAGACCTGTGAGGCCTGTTTTGGGAGATAGGGGATGGAAGGGATGAGGGCAAGGAGACTAGAGTGGAGAACAGGCTCAGGTGCCGTGAGAAGAAGCGTGTCTCTTACCCACTTTACTCTGTTTCTCAATTCCAAGCCTCCATTCGGAGAAGAAAAGGGGGTAAGTCATCTGTTGTGTCCCTGGGCCCAGCTTGCTTGCCCCTATCAGGTGGTGCCTGTGTGTGAGGAGCCACAGTGGAGCACAGTGTGGGCCTGGGAAGGATGAATGGGAGTTCCCAGAGGTGTGGGCATCTGGGATCACAGCGGGGCACAGCATGGGCGTTAGGGGATTAAGTGAGCCGTGGTATGAAGATCACTTGAGACATATGATATCTGGGCCACGTTGGGACAGGCATATCTGGGTGTTCAGGTATGTCCTTGCTAAAATTTTACGCCTGTCCCCTGGGGTTACCTCTGTGAGTTGTTGGTGTCCAGTCTCATGCTGACTGGTTGCATGGTCAATTCTAGAGTTGACAGTACCATCAGAGCATGGGGGCCGAGTTCCACAGCACTGGTAAGGGAGCTAGAGCTCCCCTGCCTAGCATTTCCCTCCCCCCTCACCACAGCCTTTTCAGGGGCTACCTCCATATCTTTTCAGATTCTTCCTTATATATGTCTTGTGTGTCTACCTTGACTGTATAGAAAACAATGTCGGATGTAGACAGAGCTGCCTGGTCCCCAAGGTCCAGTATCTGAGGAAGTCTTGGAGCCTGTTTACTACCTCTTGCCTCTGTGTGTGTGAGTGCACATGTGCACACATATGCCTGCCAATCCTGGGGTTTGAAGTCAGGGCCTTGGCATTGTCACTGAACATTTTTGCTCAAGTCTAGCACTCTATGACTTGAGCCACAGCTCCACTTCTGATTTTCTGGTGGCTCATTGGAGATAAGAGTCTCACGGACTTTCCTGCCTGGGCTGGCTTTGAACCAAAGTCCTCAGATCTCAGCCTCCTGAGTAGCTGGGATCGTAGGCATTAGCACTTAGCTTTCTCTGCCTCTTGAAGGAAGGGAGTTAGGCCCAGGTGGAAAGAAAGTTGGGCCCAGTGGAAGCCCCAGGTGTGTGGAATCACACACTTAGCGCCTCTCTGTCACTTTTTTTTTTTTTTTTTTGGGGTCCGGTCGTGGGGCCTGAACTTGGCCTGGGCGCTGTCCCTCAGCTCTTCTGCTCAAGGCAAGCACTCTACCACTGAGCCACCTTCCCAGACCACTTTTTTTTTTTAAGTTGGTTGTGGAGCTTGAATTCAAGGCTGGGCACGGTCCCTGAGCCTCTTTTGCTTAAGGTGAGCACTCTACCATTTGAGCCACAATACCACTTCCAGTTTTTGAGTGGTTAATTGGAGATAAGAGTCTCATGTACTTTGCTGCTTGGGCTGGCTTTGGGTTGTGGTCCTCAGCTGTCAACCTCCTGAGTAGCTAGGATGACAGGCATGAGCCATCCACCCCCGGCCCTCTGTCACTCTTGAGGCACTGGACTTTCCCTGGATGTGCGTGTACACCCTCAGTGTGCATTTCTCAGTTCACCACAACCCCACCTCAGTCTCCTGTTAGCCTTTCAGGTACTAAAAACAGATGTCAAGGGTTCCTCCAAGGACCCATCTCTCCTTGCTCTAGAAGTTGACAAGCAAGTTCTTTCTGGAGTGTTGTGTTGTGGCCCTCTGGTGCATTAATGGGGCTGCTGTGTACTATGCGAGGGCCATCTCCGAGCTGTGGGGAGTCAGATCTGTCCCCCGTGCAGGGCTCTCCTCTCTTTGGTCCCAGTCTGCTCTGCTCTGTGGGAATGAAGCCCAGACCTGGCTATCCTAAGGGGCTTCATTTCCTTTTTTAAGTATCTAAAATAATCCTCACACCAGCAATCCTTGGTCCATACTGTCCCCTGGTGGTGTTGAAAGCCATATTTAGGCCCCATGAATTGCTCTGTACTGGGAACTTGTTTTGCTGGTAAACTCCTGTGTTGTTCAATGCATAGTCTGAATTCTGATAGAACTTCTCTTCTTCAGAGAAGTCACAAGTTGTTTGGGGAGGCAAACGGGTGGCAGGTAGAATGAGCAGGTGCTGGTAGGAAGCTTCAGGTTGGAACTAAAAGAGAAGGTGTCCATACTGACCATAGAAGTGCTGGGTACTTTGAGAGTGGAGGGCATTAAGATGAGTGTCCCCGGATGGTAGGCACAGCTCTCAAGAGTTAAGCAGAGCTGGGTGCCAGTGGCTCACACCTATAATTTTCACTATCAGGAGGCTGAGATCTGAGGATTGAGGTTTGAAGTTAGCCCAGGCAGACATATCTGAGAGACACTTATTTCCAATTAGCCAGCACAAAAGCTGGAATTGGGGCAGTGGCTGAAGTGGTAGAGTAAGTGCCAGCTTTGAGTGAAAAAGCCAAGCAAGAGCAGAAAGCCCAGAGTTCAGGCCTTCGTACCAGGCAGAAAACAAGAGTTAAGCAGAGCCTGGAGACAGGTAGAGCCTGAGGGATGGGTGAGAGACTTGGTGGTTAGATTGAAGCTGCTGAATGAGAACAGGGGGACACAGGTGCTACCTCCAATCCCTACTGCGTGCTGGAGCACTGGCTCCGAGTTAGCTCCAGGGTAAAGATGAGTGGACCTATTAGGGTAAGAGTGGTTGTTCTCTTGGCCGAATCCATCTAACTATACCTCTCTCAGCCCTCAGACACATGTTAATTGTTTAATAAACAAAAGTACCCATTTAAAAAATAATAGCTTTGATAAGAACAAACAAAACATTCTTAAAATATTGGACTTGAAACAAGTGTGCCTGAGGCCTGCTGGTACCTTTCCTCCCGGGCCTTGTTCATCGGTCTTCACATGAGTCTCCCAACCCTAACTCTGCTCTGCTTTTCAGCTCCCACTGCTTTCAGAGGAATTGAGGGGAGCCCCTCAGTGAGGAGATTCCTTTTCAGTACTGTCTCCTATTTCTCCTTTTTGTAAACATCTTCCATTCCGTCTACAGCTGCCTTCTCTCAGGGGGAAGGAGGAAGGATCCATGGCCTTCCGTGCTGTATTGGACCACTTTTTAGGTCCCCAGCCCAAGTTTTGTTCTCAGGAAGTATCCCTACCCTTGTTTGTTCACTTGTTGATAATTAGCTTAACCATTCATTATTCAGACAGCTCTGTGGACACCTGCTTGAAGATCAGGATCTGTCCCAGGGCAGTGATACTACTAGAAACAGCTTTTCTTGGCAGTGGTAGGGACAGGCCATGTGCTGAGAACAGGCACAAGGGAATGGGCGCGAGTCGGGGAGATGTTTCTAAGTGGTCTGTCCTCCATCTTGGTGCCCTTCCATAGCCTTATCGTAGTGGTCACTATTGGAGGAGTATCCCCAGCGACACTTGGCAGGGAAGGGGGGTCCTCTTTAAGGGCAGAAGATGGCTGGGTCTCAGTACCCCTGTGTTAGCACCATAGACATGTCTAGGAGAGGGTGCATCAGTGAGCAGGCCCTGGGCTTGAGGTGGTTGTCTCCTCGATGTGCAGAGAAGCTGGATGAGATCTTGGCAGCTGCTGCGGAGCCAACACTGAGGCCGGACATTGCAGATGCGGACTCCAGAGCAGCCACAGTCAAGCAGCGGCCCACTAGCCGAAGGATCACCCCTGCTGAGATCAGTGTAAGCCAGCCTTGAGCAGCCAAGTCTTTGGATGGTAGGGGCTGGGCTTGGGGACCAGAGGCTCATGTACCTCTTGTCTGAGGTAAGAATCCAATCATTTGGGCCCCTTCTCCAGAGGGGTGGAGCTCCCATGACCTCTCTTGGAGACATGTAGGACAATGTCAGCCTTCTGAATGGCCATAGTTCAGTACCTGCAGGTTTTTACTTCTGTGACTATAGCTTGTGGTGCCTTGACTTGGGGTAGTTTTTGTGTCTCTCAAGTCATCTGGATCCCCTTATGGGACTGACAACACAGTATATTCCCAAGCCTGCCCTTTCTCTCTGACATCTCTGGACTCCTGCTCTCCTTCACCTGGGCTATACGCACTGTCTACAGTGTTGCTGACCACACTGCCCATATGACCTAGGCCCTGCTTGGTTGTATCCTCTGTGATTAGAGTACATAGATCCAAATCCTGAGTCCAGATCCCACTGACACCAGTGTTGTCCAAAGGAGTGCATGGGGTATTGAATGTCCAGCTTAGGAGGAGGATGAGTGGGGCTGGATGGAGACCCAGGGTCCCCAGTGTCCTGGAACCTCCATGTTCCCCCTCCCCGACCCCCACAGTCATTGTTTGAGCGCCAGGGCCTCCCAGGCCCAGAGAAGCTGCCGGGCTCTCTGCGGAAGGGGATTCCACGCACCAAGTCTGTAGGTATGGCTGGGCTGAGGGGCTGCCGTGGGGCTGGGAGGGGCTGGGCTGGGCTGGGTGGACTTGGGTTTGCAGGGTACTCCCTCTGCTTTCATAGCCAGGGATCTCATGTGTTTATGAACATAAACGAGTTAGTCCTTTCCTTAACCCAGAGATGTGTTGCTGGAACTTGAGAATTTCTCTCCCCAGTCTACCTATCCCTGTACACTGGGCACTCTCTGGTTCACCAGGCTTACCCCCTCCCCACTTCACGTCTCCTATCTGGGTTCCCTCCCATTCATCCCTTCTGCCTCCCACAGGTAACCAGCATCTTTGTCACCACGTCAGCTCTCTTCTCTCCAGGCTGCTCCTTTGCAGCCTGGATGCAGGCTGACCCTAAAATTACTCTCTCTTGAACCTCCCTCACTCAGATACTGTGCACGCTCTTTCTCCCCCTTCATAGCCAATTTTCTTGAAAAGGTCACCCATACTTCCTCCTGTCTCCATCTGTTCCTAAGCCTGTGGCAGATGAACTCATTCCACATCTAAAACTGAAACTCCTCTCACCAAGGTCATCAATGGCCTCCAGGGCATCCCTCCTAGTGGATACCACCAGCTCTTTTCATAAAGACCTCAGCTGGCATTGGTGTTGTTTTTTTCCATGAAACTCCTCCCTGCAATCTAGGCAGTGCTCCTTGTTCTCTTTTCCTCTTTCTTGGGCTACCCCTTTTCAGACCCTCCCTCAACCCATCCAAGGACATGTTCTGATTTTCCTTTCCCTCTGTACCTACTCACTTTGGGGCCTTATCATCACCTTCTCTAGCTGCTGGCCTACCTCTAACTGTGTTTCCTTCTAACCCCAGCCTGGGACTTGTCTAACAGGCCTTGCCTACTGATCATGCATGGCTCCTCACCTTGCTAACTTGTATATCTGTCTCCTACAGAGCTGCCCATTTGTCTATTTATTTGTCTGTATTCATCCCACCATCTGTTCAGAGGAAGCCCCTACTTAGCATTTAAAACATGTTAAGCACTGAATGTTTATGTACATGGATCCATGTAATACTTACAGTGATGATATGGAGGGAATACTGTATTCTGTTCAAGCAAGAAGACTTAAAGTGACTAGGCCAGGGCCACACAGGTTCACTTTCTAGCCACCCTGAAGCCAGCCAACTGCCTAAACATATCCCTCACCCATCCCAGGAATCTCTGGTCTGACCCTGGACTGGGTTTGGGGCCCAGCTGGGGAAGAAGACATGTTTGTACATGGTCAGCTCAGCAGTTATATGGTGGGTGTCAAGACACATACACAAATGGGCTCTGACGGGAGCTATGAACGTCACTGAAGCCTAGGGGAATTTGAACTTAGAGTGCAGAGTAAGTGGAACTTTCTGGGTGATGATGACGTGAACTGTTGACACAAGCCAGTGTATAAATGACTCAGGCATGTAGCAAGGTCCTTAATGTATTGACAAGGGTTGGGATGTATGTGTGTGGCAATGCTAGGGTTTGAATTTAGGATATTATTGGTTGCTGGGCATGTGCTCTACCCATCTGAACCACTCCTCAAGACATGTTTTATAGGTCATGGGGCTTGAACTCAGGGCCTGGGCACTTTCCCTGAGCTTTTTCACTCAAGGCTAACACTCCACCACTTGGAGTCACAGCACCACTTCCAGTTTTCTGGTGGTTAATTGGAGATAAGAGTCTCAAGGGGACTTTTCTGCCCAGACTGGCTTTAAACCGCTGATCCTCAGATTTCAGCCTCCTGAGTAGCTAGGATTACAGGTGTGAGCCACTGGTGCCTGGCTGCCTCCAGACTCTTTTAAAAGTTGTTTTTCAAATGGGGTCTCGTATTTTGCTGAGGCCAGCCTGGGATAACAGATGTGTGTACTACCATTCCCAGCTAGGGGTCTTGCTAACTTTTTGCCTGGGCTGGCCTTTAGCTGTGATTGTTCCAACTTCTGAAACTAAAGGCATGAGCCACCATGCCCAGCTGACCAAAGGTCATTTCTATAGCTAAGAGAGTGGGGAAAGCAGTTGGTAAGACTGCAGGCTGTCAAGTGGTACTTCTTTTTGCTCTCTTTTGCCCAAGTTCTGGGCATTCTCCATGATTTCTTCCTTAGGCTATGCCTCACCTGACAAATTGGGAGTGGGCTGCCTCTTCACATGTGTTTGGCACTGCTATGCTCGGCTTGTACCTAATCCAGAGCTCTTTCTTATGACCCCCTGCCCCAGCTCTGTCTTTCTGGGAAAGGAGGCTTTCTACAGCACAGTTATCATATCATCTTGCATCCATCCTGCTGACCCACTGCGGGCTCCTTAGGAGGACCAGCACTGGCCCTCTCCTGGTCCATCTGAAGATATTTGTCACTGCCTCTCCCCACTGTGAATCTTCCCACACTCCCTGCTCCCCACCTGCCCTTCTGCTCATGGACAGCCTGTCACTCAGCCTTGCCCACTTCCAGAACAGATCACTGCAGGGACCTGTACACCTGCTCTTGAGCCTCTTGTTTGATCTGCTGGTTGGTTCCTCCTGTGCCCAAGTTGACAGGTGGGCCACACAGAGGCTCACATATAGGCCCCCTCAGTGTGGAATGCCACCAGTTGCAAGCACTATCACTGGCTGAATTGTTAGTCTCCCCAGGTTCCCACTCTGTGCCAAGGCTGTGTGTTGTCCCCGTGTACATGATGCTTCTCTTGGAAGCTGTCTGGGTAGGAACCACAGGACTCTTGTCCAGAAACATGGAGCATAAATACTTAGTACCCATTTCTAAGGACTGCTCAGAGTCCCCCTTGAGCACACCAGGCTGCACAGTAGCTGTAACAAGTCAGTAGATCTAGGACCTGCATTTTGAGCAACATTGAGTGCCCAGGAAACACCTTTGCTGCTGTTTTGAGCAAGTAGAGAGGGTCTCTGCCTCCTCTGGTGTCAGCATAGCCCTCATTCTGGGCTGCGTCAAGTGACTTTTCTTTACCCTCAGGCAGAACTTAGCATACCATTAGCATTAAATTCCCCCTTTTCATCTTTGCATGTCACTCCCACCTTCTGTATCCTCCAGGTACGTGTTTTTCCTACATAGTTCTATCTAACATACAGGCTTGTGGGTGTTCAACTGTATGTTTATGTACTGTGCAGGAATACTGCGGAGAGGTTCAGATATGTTCAATGGTGGAGGCCAGCAGGCCTAGAAAAACGATGGTGATAACCTTGTCACCTTCTTGGGTGCTGCTGCCTGCCCTGAAACTTCAAATGGCTCCTTGACAGGAGTAGGCCGTCCTGATAGGAGACAGATTCCTCCGAGTGAGCTAGCTGGTAGAGCTGGAATTAAAGCCCAATTTGACAACAAAAGTCTATCCTGTTCCTTGAAGTGACAGCTCTCCCTCCATGCTGGATGCAGATTGTAGTGTGAGGCCTCACCAGTGATTTAGATGATGTCAAGAGCAAGTAGTCTGTGTTGTGAGCACCCAGTAGAGCACTGCTAGAGCCTTGATGTGTCACCACAGTCTCTCTTCCACATTACTGGGCTGGGCCACTTAGCCCTGCAGCCTCATTGACTGCACACACTTAAGTCCAAGCGCCCACATTGTATCTGAAAGAGTGGGTCTCCTCTTAGGTTTCCTCTGGATACTCGACTCTAATGATGTGCATATGGAAGGAGGGAGTTTGTTACAAGCCTGTGTAGGCCTTGAGAAGGGGCTCAGGAGGCCCAGCACCTGGCCCAGGGTCGGTCAGTAGAGGTGTATCTGAAGTACGCCGTGTGTGCTTGGCTTACAGTCTCACTTTAATTTATCCATTCTTCCCATGTACCCACCTACCCAGCATCACTGAATTCCAGCCACTCCTTTGAGTGGGTCTCCTGTGAGCCTGCAGGGTTTCTTTCCCGGCTACGGGGCCTGGGCCCTCGTGCTTCTCTTGGCGGATGCACGGCCGCCTCATCACCACAGTCCTGGGCTTCATCCGCAGGCGCCCCTCGTTTCTGGCCATCTCCCTTTCTGCTCTCTCCGGGTCACCGGGGCTTCCCCTGACTCCTGCTTGTGCACACCGGGCCGCGGCCTCTGAGCAGGTTTGCCCGGCTTCCTCCCGGCCCCAGCCCAGGCCGATCGGGCCTTGTCCTTTGGGCTTCTCCGGTGGAGCTCTTCCTTCACCCCGTGGCAGGACCGGGGTGCTGTGGGCTTCCCGAGGGAGGCCTGCGGTGCGGGCTCGGGTGTCCCCTGCGCGCGCACTGCCCTCCATCTCCCATGTCCCGTTCGCCCAGACCCCCGGCTGCTCCAGGTTGGAGCCCAGGCCGGTCTCACCGGGCGCCTTGGTCTGCAGGGGAGGATGAGAAGCTGGCGTCCCTGCTGGAGGGGCGCTTCCCGCGAAGCTCGTCGATGCAGGACACGGCGCGCGAGGGCCGCGGCATCCCGCCGCCGCCGCAGACCGCGCCGCCGCCTCCGCCCGCGCCCTACTACTTCGACTCGGGGCCGCCACCAGCCTTCTCGCCTCCGCCCCCGCCGGGTCGAGCCTACGACACCGTGCGGTCCAGCTTCAAGCCGGGCCTGGAGGCGCGCCTGGGCGCGGGCGCGGCGGGCCTGTACGAGCCCGGGCCCCCGCTCGGCCCGCTGCCCTGCCCCGAGCGGCAGAAGCGCGCGCGCTCCATGATCATCTTGCAGGACTCGGCGCCCGAGGTGGGTGACGTCCCCCGGCCCGCGCCCTCGGCCACGCCGCCGGAGCGCCCCAAGCGCCGGCCGCGGCCGCCCGGCCCCGACAGCCCCTATGCCAATCTGGGCGCCTTCAGTGCCAGCCTCTTCGCGCCTTCCAAGCCGCAGCGCCGCAAGAGCCCGCTGGTGAAGCAGCTGCAGGTGGAGGACGCGCAGGAGCGCGCGGCGCTGGCCGTGGGCGGCCCCGGCCCCGGCGGCGGCAGCTTCGCCCGGGACCCCTCCCCCACACACCGCGGGCCCCGGCAGGGGGGCCTCGACTACGGGGCCGGGGAGGGCCTGGGGCTCGCGTTCGGGGGCCCGGGCCCGGGGCAGGGCAAGGAGCGGCGGCTGGAGGAGCGACGCCGCTCCACCGTGTTCCTGTCGGTAGGCGCCATCGAGAGCAGCCCGCCCAGCGCAGACCTGCCGTCGCTGCAGCCCTCGCGGTCCATCGACGAGCGCCTCCTGGGGGCCGCGGGCGCCACCGGCCGGGACCTGCTGCTCCCCTCGCCTGTGTCCGCGCTGAAGCCGCTGGCCAGCAGCCCTGGCCTCGCGCCCGCGGGCTCCACCTTCATCCACCCGCTCACCGGCAAGCCCCTGGACCCCAGCTCGCCCCTGGCTCTGGCCCTGGCCGCCCGCGAGCGGGCCCTGGCCTCACAGGCGCCCTCCCGCTCCCCCACGCCCGTGCACAGCCCCGATGCCGACCGCCCGGGACCCCTGTTCGTGGACGTGCAGGCCCGGGACCCGGAGCGAGGGGCCCTTGCCTCGCCGGCCTTCTCCCCGCGGAGCCCGGCCTGGATTCCCGTGCCCGCTCGCAGGGAGGCCGAGAAGGCGCCGCGGGACGAGCGGAAGTCCCCGGAAGACAAGAAGTCCATGATCCTCAGCGTCCTGGACACGTCCCTGCAGCGGCCGGCCGGCCTCATCGTCGTGCACGCCACCAGCAACGGGCAGGAGCCCGGCAGGCTTGGGGCCGAGGAGGAGCGGCCGCCTGCCCCGGAGCGGCCGCCCGCCCCGCTGCCCGCGGCGGCCGTGCCTCTGTCCAGCCCCCGGGCCCAGCCCCCCGGCGGCACCCCGGCGGACCCCGGGCCCGGCCAGGGCAGCTCGGAGGAGGAGCCCGAGCTCGTGTTCGCCGTGAACCTGCCGCCCGCCCAGCTGTCCTCCAGCGACGAGGAGACCAGGGAGGAACTAGCCCGGATCGGGCTGGTGCCGCCCCCGGAAGAGTTTGCCAACGGCATCCTGCTGGCCACCCCGCCCCCAGGCCCCGGCCCCTCACCCACCTCGGCGCCCGGCCCGGCCTCCGGGAAGCCCGGCAGCGAGCCCCCTCCTGCCCCCGAGTCCGCAGCCGACTCTGGGGTAGAGGAGGCCGACACCCGAAGCTCCAGCGACCCGCACTTGGAGACCACAAGCACCATCTCCACCGTGTCCAGCATGTCCACCCTGAGCTCAGAGAGCGGAGAGCTCACCGACACCCACACCTCCTTCGCTGATGGACACACTTTTCTACTCGAGAAGCCACCAGTGCCTCCCAAGCCCAAGCTCAAGTCCCCGCTGGGGAAGGGGCCGGTGACCTTCAGGGACCCGCTGCTGAAGCAGTCCTCGGACAGTGAGCTCATGGCCCAGCAGCACGCCGCCTCTGCCGGCTTGGCCTCTGCCGCCGGGCCTGCCCGCCCTCGCTACCTCTTCCAGAGAAGGTCCAAGCTGTGGGGGGACCCGGTGGAGAGCCGGGGGCTCCCTGGGCCTGAAGATGACAAACCAACTGTGATCAGTGAGCTCAGCTCCCGCCTGCAGCAACTGAACAAAGACACACGCTCCCTGGGGGAGGAACCGGTCGGTGGCCTGGGCAGTCTGCTGGACCCTGCCAAGAAGTCACCCATCGCAGCAGCTCGGTGAGCAGGGATGTGGGAGGGTCCTGCCCCTGTCCTCTTTTCCTCCTGTCCACGGGTAGGCTTTCCTCTGACTCCCTTCACATTCCTCTCTCTCATTTCTCCATGGCACAGCCACTCTCCACTCCCACCTGTGTACCTGTTTGTCTTGTCTTGTTTTGCTGTCTGGAATAGAAGGTTCCTTAGGGATGATGATTTCCACATCCCTGTTGGTGCTAGTAGTGAACCCAGGTGGAAACTGAGCACCTTCTGGGCCCTCCCTACCCCGATATTTGCAGATCTGGTTCCCCACCCAACCTGCCTTTGCCTAAGGGTTTCAGGGTCTACTTTGGAGCCACACCCTCCTCACAGCTCTTTGGGTCTTCTTTGGTTCTGTATCTCCCAACTGTACCTCCACTCCTGTCTTCCTTGTGTCAGTGGGACTTCTTCATGTGACCAGTGCCACCTGTCCAGAAGCTGCCCCTTGCCTGGACTCCTTTTGAGTACTGGAGTACACGTGCTCCATTTGAGAACCTGCCACAGACTTCCTGTTTTTCTGTCCCACGAGCATTTGTCTTGTGACACACTTTAAAGCCAGTCAAACTCAGATTTCTGGGTATGATTTTTAAAGTGCCTCAGGAATATAGATGAAAGTCACAGCTGTCTGCCCTCTCACCTTCTGCCCTCCCTTTCCCGTCCTTGTCCCTCTGTCTGTCCTGTTCCCCACCATGGGAACTTGGGGGAAGTCCTGGCATGGGGAAGCACTGAGTTGGGGTCTGGGTGCTGCTGAGGCCGCTGCTACTCTTGTCTAAATAGAAGCCTGCCAGATCCCTGAGCTGACCCCTCAGCCCTTCCTACAGACTCCCCATGTGGGCTGCTTTTGTCTATGCCCTGTTTGGGTGGGATTCTACCTGCTGAATCTCCCTCATTGCTGCCCTGCAGAACACCTTAGTGGGCCCTTCACTGTCTGTGAATGCAGAGTTCACAGATTCATGAGTGGTACACAACTTAAGGACTGCAGATCTTTTATTCTGCTGTTTTGGTTTTATGTCAGTTCTGGGGTTTGAACTCAGGGCCTGGGCACTGTCCCTGCACTTTTATGCTCAAGTCTGGTGCTCTACCACTTAAGCCACAACTCTACTTCCAGCTTTTTGGTGGTTAATTGGAGATGAGGGTTTTGTAGACTTTCCTGTCCAGATTGGCTTTGAACTGCGATCCTCAGATCTCAGCCTCCGGAGTGACTGAGCCACTGACCCCTGGCTTGCCAGTCTCTTTTTTTTTTTTTTTTTTTTACAGGATCTGTCTACCCTAGCTTCTTTCAGGTTAAGATAAAAAAGATAAATGGGAGCTTGAGAATTACCATTCCTCTCTTTGAAAGTTAAGGAATACTGTCGTAGATCCTGTCATCCTGGGAGCTTGCTCTGGGAACTTTAGTCTCTTCTAGCTCCCAAGTGATTTTGAAAGCCTCTTTCCAGCAGTGTAGTTTGGAAGGCACCCTTAGAATGCGCATGGTATAGGTGTGGCTGAATTAGGACAACCTGTTGGTATCCAGACCTCTCTGTAGAACCAGATTCCTGAGGACAGAGTCTTCTGACTCAGCATTGGCAAATCCCCTGTCCTCTGTTTCTTCCCTCAACAGCCCCTCCATATATCTTCCTTTTGGTCCAAAAGTCAAAGCTACTTAAGGTTCATAGCACAGTGGCTGGTCCAGCATAGGCTCTCAAAAGACACATGTTGAGTGAATAAAAATAAAGTACAGTGCTGGTGCTGTCTTTGTGATTTCCAAGGAGGCGTCTTAGGGCACATTCAAGGGAGAACAAATCCAACAACTGAGAGTCATTGGGTGTTTGGGGAACCTAGTTCTTGTCATTGGTTTTGGGTCTCAGGGGGCATCTGGGCAATCGTGGGATGGGTTCCAGGTGATTCCTCAGCCAGAACCTTGTCTCGATTCATCCTCTCACCATGTTTGGTGTTCACCTCAGTAGGGATAAGGATCTTACTCTGCACTTCCCCTTGTACTTTTCTTCCTCAGATGTCAGTTGGGTTGGGTGGGCAAGACCATTTTCTATCTGTCTACAGATTGCTGGAAAGTAAGCCTGTTTTTCTTTGTTTTTGTTTTTGTTTTTTTTGGTCCTGGGGCTTGAACTCTTCAGCTCAAGGCTAATGCTCTTCTACTTGAGCCACAGCGCCACTTCCGGCCTTTTCTGTTTATGTGGTACTGAGGAACAAACCCAGGGCTTCGTGCATGCTAGGCAAGCACTCTACCACCAAGCCACATTCCCAGCCCCAGAATTTTAACTCTTTTAACAGGTCATGTCTCAGCTCTGCTTTCTTAGGCAAGCCCTTAGCCTCTGTGAAGGCCCATCTGTCCTCTGTGTGCAGCATCAGCTATAGAACATGAGACTCCCTGTATGGGAGCTAACATTGCCTGCCACTGCTGCCAGGTGTTTAGACTAGGTTAAGTCTTAGTGAGTCCTTTATAGAAAAATAAATGTGCTCAGCAGGGCACTAGAGGATGTCAAATCACATTATTAAATCCTTATAACCATTCTTTTAGATGGACAATTATATAAACTCCATTTCCAGACAATAAGACAGGTTCCAGAGAGTGTCACTCCATCCAGTAAGTGGTAGCATGGCTTGCCTGTTTTATTTGGAGCCTCTGTCCTTAAGTCCCTTCTGATGAAATACTCTGCGTTTATGCTCAGTAATCCCACCTTGGAAAGGCAGACACATGTTTGCTACGCAAGCACAGGTGTCAGCATGTATACAGTAAATGGCTCCTGTCAGTTGGCTCGGTTGCCCTAAGCCACCCTTTGGCTCTGTGCTCCTTTTCTGCCTCTGTGTTTTGTTCTGTTATCACCCACTCTTCTACTTCTTGGGCTCCTTCTCACTATTGGACCTGAGCAAAATCACAACCCTCTGTGGAGTCTCCCCTGCTGGCCACCTTAGTCCCTTTGTTTCTGGCTACAAGCTGTGTCCAGCCTGTCGTGATGCCCACCGGGGCTACGTATCAGTTTCTGACCTGCAGCCAGTGATCGCTGGAGCCTAGTGCTTACTTCTTACTACTAGGGAAACCTACCTTTTAGAGAATTGTCTACAGTGTGTGGTACTGGGATGTCCAGGGGTGGCTGCTTCCTTACTAGGACCTATCTTGTCAGTGATCACATCTTTGAGTTGCAATCCTGGTTTCTTGTGTAGTCCCCGAGTTTTGCTACCCAGGCTCATCTGTTCCCTGCCCTCCCCCCCACCCCCATGGACATCCCCAAAAAGCAAATGCCCTTTACTGCCCGCCTTTTCCACAGAGGCTCAGACCAGACTGTGAAGTCCTAGGCAAAGGTGCTCTGCAGCTTTGGTCTTTTGGAAGTTAAACTGCCCTGTAGATATATCATGAAGCCAAAGTTTGCTAACTTGTGAAGATATGATCAGTTCCTTCACAGTGAGATCATCTTTGGTTCTAGTGTAGTAGCTGGAGGATACAGCATCCTGAGTGTTTCCTCAAGTTCAGGATCACTGGCCTTCTGAATGTTTATCCCAGGTAGACTACCTGTTCTATGCTTCCAGCTTGAGGTCCAGCCCTGCTGACAGTAGACCATTTGTCTACTCAGAATCTCAGACCCAGCTCTAAGGCTGCATTTGGCCATTGATTCAGATTTGACTTTGAGTTCCACAGCTGGTCTTTTAGGCCCCTCCTTTGTTCATGAAGAGGCCCACACCTATCCCTGAACTCCATTTGTCTTCCAGGATCCATACTTGAGCTTGATTTTCACATGTAATTTGAGTCCTACAGCAGTGCTTTGCTTACCCAGAGCCCTGCACATGCCAGGAAACAATCACTCTACCACTGAGCTATATCCTTAGCCCTGCCTGTCTTCCACCCCAGCCCCTCTCCCCTCCCCTTTTTGGGACAGAAGCTTAGTATGTAGCTCAATCTGGCCTTGAATTTAAGAGCTGACTTTGAACTTAAGAGCATCCTGGCCTGGGAAGGTGGCTCAGTGGTGGAGCGCTTGCCTTGCATGCATGAGGCCCTGGGTTCGATTCCTCAGCACCACATAAACAGAAAAAGCCGGAAGTGGCGCTGTGGCTCAAGCGGTAGAGCGCTTGCCTTGAGCTGAAGAGCTGAGGGACAGCGCCTAGGCCCAGAGTTCAGGTCCACGACCGGCAAAAAAAAAAAAAAAAAGAGCATCCTGATTTGGCTGCCAAGGTGATGGAATTAAATGGTGTACTACTACTCCTAGTGGCTTTCAGTTTTATATCTATCTGTCAGACCCTCACATCTGAAAAAAGTTTATGGAGAAATAGGATTGGAAACAAATTCAAAGAGATTCTTTGTTGAGTACTTCTCAGCTTGTATAGAAGGAAATGTGGTTACGCTGTGTTCTCCAGACCACTTAGGATTACTATGTCTCACAGCAAGCTCACTTTCCCAAAGATGATTGAGAAGCCCCGCACTGGCTGTCTGCTGTAGGGTCCTACCTATTAGCTTGTTTTTCAGGGATCCAGACAAAGCCCTGTGAGCTTGGGAAACCATTTCCTGCAGTGCCCAGGTGGGCAGTGGATCCAGGGTTCACTATGACCCTGCAGGCCCTGAGCTCTCTTGTGGAACAGGAATGGTGCACAGAGAAGATAAAGAAACACTGGAGCACATCAAGGCTGGAGACGTAAACAGGCCCGGATGGTGAGAAGTGAGGTGGTGGCAGAAGAGACATTCACAGAAGCTGCAAAGCCATGACTAGTTCTGCGTTCTTACAAGGATTATTTTCTTTATTGAGGAACCCAAAGTTGCAGAAGGCTACAGGCCTAGACTTTTTTTTCCTTCCTTTTTTGTATTTTGTGTCTGTCCTAGAGCTTGAACTAGGGGTCTGGGCCTTGTCCCTGAGTGTCTTTGTGCTCAAGGATACCACTCTACCACTTGAGCCACAGCACCACTTCTGGCTTTTTCTGAGTAGTTTATTGGAGATTAGAATCTCACGGGCTTTCCTGCCCGGCTGGCTTCAAACTACAATCCTCAGATCTCAGCCTCC